GGAGCCCGATGCGGGACTCGATCCCGGGACTCCAGGATCATGACCTGAGCCGAAGGCAGTCGCTTAACCAACTGAGCCACCCAGGCGCCCGATACTTGTCTTTCTCTGACTGACTTACTTCACTTAGCATAATACCCTCTAGTTCCATCCACGTTGTTGCAAATGGCAGGATTTCGGGGGGTTTTTGATGGCTACATAATATTCCATTGTATATATATATATACCCCACATCTTCTTTATCCATTCATCTGTCGATGGACATCTTGGCTCTTTCCACAGTTTGGCTATTGTGGACATTGCTGCTGTAAACATTGGGGTGCGCGTACCCCTTCGGATCCCTACTTTTGTATCTTTGGGGTAAATACCCAGTAGTGCAATTGCTGGGTCATACGGTAGCTCTATTTTCAACTTCTTGAGGAAACTCCATACTGTTTTCCAGAGTGGCTGCACCATAAGAAAATATATTCTTAACGTTAATTTTTGCTTTCCTCTCACTTTGTTAATGTGGCCACTAGACATACGCGGCTGGTGTTATATTTCCATCGACAGTGCTGTGCTAAACCATTGGTTCTCAGAGTGTGGTCCCCAGGTCAACAGCGGCATCAGCAGCACCAACTGGGAACCAGTTAGAAATGCAGATTCTCAGGCCTTGCTCCAGACTGTGGGAATCCGAAACTTGGGGCTGGCGTGGGGGGCAGATTGGAGACTGGGGTTCAGGCAGCAGTCTGCATGTTAACAAGCCCTCCAAGGATTCTCATGCGCCCCCGAGTTCCACAGCCACTTCTCCAACCATAACCCGGTTTCTACCTTTGAAGATGGGATTAGGTTTCGTGTGATTTTAGAGAGCTTCAGATTCCACCACTCCCCCATCTTTGCGGAATCCAGAGGAATTTCTTAGTTACATTAATCTGTGAGCTATTTAAACTTTTTCCCTTTGTAAGCTTTCATGTGCAGGTGCTCAGCAGCTTAAATATCAGTGAAAGCATTATTGAAAATGCTTATTAAACATATCAAAGTAACACCAGAAGTGCGTACCTGCCCAGTGATCATCTGTAACAAACCAGAAACCTCAAGCGGTGCCCAAGTCGCATTCAGGGACCAGCAAACAAAGCCCAAAGCGCAGCCGTGAACAGAGACAGAACAAGAATTACTAAGACTCGTAGCTTTCCGTGTCTGACGTTGATGTCGCAGCCAAAACAGAGCGATAGAGGAAGAGGTTTGCTGCAGAGGAAAAGAAGGACCAGCTTTTAGTCTGTATGTGCTGCCTCCTGGGGGAGCTTCTGAGCAATAAGTCCTTCTCAGATGGGATTCCTTG